GTGATATGTTTATGGAAAGTAAGTGTTAACATTGGAATATTACCTTTGTTCTGAGAGATTTTTGCTATAGGGCACATACACTTGTCCAGAGGAGACAGAGAGAGGTAGTGAGAAGTCACTGCCCAGCAGGATGGCCACACTGCAGTCCCTTCTCCATTCTCCTCTTGGGATTTTGGGCACGCATGCACACGTGGCCTGGGTGACTTTCGAGCCTCCAGGTCCAGGACTCGAACTGCAGTCAGCTCTTTGGGAGTCCAGCACCTTGACCACTGTGTTACCCTGCTGACCCAGAATATCACTTTTTTATTTTTATTTTTTTAAAGTTTTGCCAGAGGTTTTGCCAGAGGGTACATCATCTTGCTGGAGAGAAACAGAGAGGAAAGGTGAGCAGCACTCCCCCCTGGGCTACGGTCACACCACAGTCCCTTCTTCATTCCTCCTTCTCCTTGGGATTTTAGGCATGGAAGCCCATACAAGCCACCCGCTAGCCTGCACAGTCCGTCATGGCGCACACCTGCAAACACTTGGCCCTTGGCCACCATCGGATGTGCACTGGTGGAGCACCCTGCTCTCAGCAGAGCGGTGACAGGTGGCTGCACACGCCGTTTACCCTCATCCTTCCTCCCAGCACTGCAGGTTCCCTCAGGGCGGATCAGCATCTGGTTTTGCCACCAGTGCTAGTGTGAAGTCTCACCGTCGGGAAGTGCTGGACCAGTGTGGCTTGAATTCACCACAGCCTTGGTGTGTCACTCCTGTAGTGTTGTGGCAACCCTATCAAAACAGGAAGCAGTTAGCTGAGCAGGGCCTGTTCGCAATTGACTCATGCTGCTTCCCCTTTCTTTCCTAAGTGACCATCAAACATCATTAAGTCACCTGCGGTTTTGGGAACTTCATCTACATTGGCTGGTCAATATGGTTCTGGAATCTGTCTTTTCCCCCCCCCCCACCCCCCCCCCCCCAGCCCTGGAATGGACCATGTATTCAGAGAAACCCTGGCTCCTTTTCCTTTTTTAAAAAATCTGCTTGATAAACATATCAGGGTACTTCAGAAGTTCATAGAAAAATGAAAGCCACAGGTGTAAAAATCATTGAAATCTGTGCATTGTTTTTTTTTATGCATTGTTTTTTTCATAATATGCATTTACTGTGAACTTTTTGAAGACCTCTTGTACAATATATACCACATCTTTAACATGTAAAATGTGATAGGTTTTGACATGTTTTATACCTACAAAACCATCAACACGGTCAGCTCATGGATACATCACTTCCAGAATACCTGGTTCCTATTTGTATTCCTCCCTCTTCCCCAGGCTGTCCCTAAGGGTGTATTTTATCATCAGTAGAAGGTACTTTACTTTTGGTGTGTTTCCACTCAGTGTAATTGTTTTGAGATTCATCTGTGTTGCTTATGCTGATGGTTTATTTTCTTCTAGTGTCAAATAGTAGAAATCTGTTTTGAGAATGGAGATGAGTATGCCCCTCTCGTGCCTTGACCTCCTTCCAGCCCCCACAATTTATGTGCCTTAAAATTCATCTGGGAATTGAGGTCGCGTTCATTTAAGAACTGGGTGCTCATAATAGAGATTTTTGAAAGTATTACTTACAATCTTGGTATCCCGATAAAGAATAGTTGTTGATACATAGACGGTACTAACTCAGTGCTGGTTAAAAGTCGACTCCTTTATATTATTTAGTTGTGTGGGTGGCTAAAAAATGTGTGTGTGTGTGTGTGTGTGTGTGTATACACCCAATTCCATTGCTCTCAGGTGACAAGATTAAATAAAGATATTTTGTACCCCTTTCCAGTAACTTTTTTCCCCTTCTTTGGAATATTTGCCAGAGGGCACGTGTGCTTGTCAGAGAGAGAGAGAAAGGACCCCCCCATGGGGATGGTCACAGCACAGTACCTTCTCTACCATTTCGCCCTTCTTCGATGATTTTGGACACACACGCCCAGTGTGTCTTTCAAGCTACTGGGTCTGGGACTTGAACTGCACAGTTGGCCATATGGGATTTTATTTGTTTTAAAAATCCTTTTCTTTTGGTCAGGAATTGAAAAATAATTGTGCCTTCTCCTTTAAAGGGTATTACACTAGTATTTCTTGTTTTGTTCTCCGCCCCCCCCCCCCCCCCCCGAGGGATTTTTTTTTTTTTTTGGAGAGGTTTTTGCTATAGGGCGCGTGCCCTCGCCTGACAGACAGAGAGGGACATAGGACAGAAAGCGAGAAATCACCCCCCAGGGGAGATGGTCACGCCGCAATCCCTTCTCCTCCATTCTCCTCCCGGGATCTTGGGCATGCGCACACACACGCCCGCCGTGAGTTTTAAGCCACTGGGTTCGGCACGCGAACCGCGGTCGACTACGTGGGAATCCAGCGACATAGCCATTACACTAACTGCTCGTTCCCGAGAGAATATTTTATTAAAAATACTTGGCAGTGGGCTAACCCTGTGGCCTGATGGTTAAGGGAACCAGATCCCATATGGCTAATGGTGCAGTGTCAATCCTGATCCCAGGAACTCACAAAAATGCCTTGGGGCCAGCAGATGGCGTAGTGGTTACATCCCACATGGTCGACTGTGGTTTAAATCCTGGACTCAGAGGCTTGAGACTCACACCAGGCATGTATGCATGCAGACCCAAGATCCTGAGAGAAGAATGGAGGAGAAGGTATTGTGGTGTGGCCATCTCACCTGGAGGGTGATTTTTCACTTTCCCTCTCACTGTTTCTGTCTCTGTCTCTCTGGCGAACACATGCCCTAAGGCAAAAATTCCTCTACAGAACAAAAGCAAAAGCAAACCATGCCTTAACCACCAGCAGGTGGCATGGTGGCTAAAGAGCTGGACACTCCCACATGGCCACCCATGGTTTGAGTCCTGGACCTGGTGGCTTGCTTTCTCTCTCTGTCTCTCTCTGGTCAAATTAAAATAAATGAATGAATAAATAAATAAAATTAAATAAATAATTTAAAAATATATTTCTGGGGGCCAGCAGGTGGCACGGTGGCTGAGGCACTGGTCTTCCACATGGCCACCCATGGTTTGACTACTGGACCTGGCCGCTTGCCTTCTTACTGCCTCCCTTTCTGGCTGTTCCTCTCATGATCTCTGGCTGGTGAGCACACGTGCCTTATAGCAAATTTAATAATAAATATTTTTGTGAAAAATGCCATTGGCATTTTTTTTTAAGAATTATTTTATCTAACTTTATTTATTATTATTATTTTCTAGTTTGATCAGCCAGAGAGAGAAAAAGCGAGAAAGCAAGTCACCAGGTGTGGGACTTGAACTGTGGTCAACTATGTGGGAATGTCCAGCTCCTTAACCACACCACCTGTGCTGGTCCCTGCCATTGGTATTTTGATAAGGGTTGCATTAAACCTGCAGATCATTTTAGGTAGTATAGACATTTGAATGATGTTAAAACTTCTAATTCATGAAAATGAGATCTTTCCATTTGTGTCATCTTCAGTTTTTTTATCAGTGTTTCTTTTTTTAAGAATTATTTATTTGTTATTATTTTTAAAATTTTGATCAGACAGTGACACACACACAGAAAAGGGAAGCGAGAAAGCAAGCTACCAAGTCTGAGACTCAGGCCGCAGTCAGCCATGTGGGAATCCGACGCCTTTAACTACCATGCCACCTGCTGGCCCCAGTGTTTTACAGTTTTCAGCGTACAGCTCTTTTCCCATCCTGGCTAAATTTATTCCTCCCGGAGCTCAGTCTTGGGATAGAATCAGACAGATGCATTAGTAATTCTTGGGAAGTAGACTGATAAATGCCATCATGGAACAATTCGCATCGTTATTTTACTGTTTCGTATCTCTAGTACTTACCCCGAGGAAACAAGCAGGGTCTCATAACTGTCAGAGTCTTTCCTCGTCTTGGCCAGTGCGCCGATGCTGATATTCGTATGAAAAGCTCTTACAGAAGATCTTTCAACAGAATGTTGATCCTTAAGAAATACTCAAGGTTCAAATCAACAAAATGAAAATACAGGTTCTCTTACTGCTTCTGTTCATAATTCTTTTGTCAGACCCTAAGGACGGCTTGCAAAGAGCTGGGCCCCTGTTGTGTCTACAGAAATATTTTTTTGAAAATATTTGACAGGTTTTGTTGTAAAACTCCCTGAGGATTTTGCTTTGTTTCTTGGGTAGAGGGGTGGGGGAGTGGGTTAGGGGGAAATAGTCCTGTCATTTTTGTAAATAAGGGAAAGTTGACGCAAGCAAGCGAGGTGCTCTGCTGGGTCCATTTCTGTTCCGGATGGAGATATGGCTGATGCTCATTGGCCGTCGCTGCCGACCCAGGTGGCTGATGCTCATTGGCCATCGCTGCCGACTCAGGTGGCTGATGCTCATTGGCCGGCGCTGCCGACTCAGGGGGGTGGTTCTCATTTGCCC